TGCATCATCAGTGGAGGACATTGTTAACTATTGAATTTTATTGAATTAAGATTAAATCATTCATAATTTTGCTTTCAATTAACGATTTATAACAAATGAATTGAATTGTTTCGAGCTGGAATGCGAAATTATTTTTAAAAATGGCTCATATCATCATTGAACAGCCGACAAAATAATTTGACCTTCATTTCTGCATGATAATGAATATCAAACGTAATTTGAAATATTAAAAAAAATTGATAATATTGTAAATAACATATATAAATTCAATCGTTTCATACGTCCTTCTCATTTATTCATAATATTATCTTAGATTTAAATCAAACGCAAACAAAATGCATTGAATTATATTGAATATGGTTAAACAAAATCAAATCATTTTTTTCATTATCAATTAAAATATTACATTTTTATTTTTATGGCAAAGTTTTTATTGATAAGTATTATAAGTATTATTGATTGAATGTTTGTTGCTGATTTGGATTGATAACTAGAAAATTTTATCGATATTTAGCAACTAACATGATTTTTTGTTTGTGAATTGCCAGCAATGAATTTTAATTCAAATTTTTAATAAATTTTTTTTTAACGCGTTCGCTACCGGAGATTTCGAAAAACACATAGAACTACAGCAAATAAACGACGCATATATGCGTCGCTGGTAGCGAACGCGTTAAAAACCAAATATTATGCTTTAATCAACATGGATTAAAAATTTATATCTTTTTTCATTGTTTTTCTTTTTGATTATAATTATTATTTTTTGTATTTGTCATTCAATTCTATTCACGATATACGATTATTTCTTTTCAAAATATAAAAAAAAAATCAACATTGATATTTATTATTCAATTTTTTTAAATAAAAAATTTTACATTTCTAATAAATTTCTTAACGAATTTCACACCAAATTATACAAATTTATTTTTTAATTCACTTAATTCCTAATTTTTCCTAATTTCCTTTCTTTCCTAATTTTTTATTTTCAACGCTAAATTCCACACATTTTTTCTTTTCTCTCACCTTCCTTCTTTAACATCCATTCATGCGTATAAGAATAAACGCTTATAATAAAGTTATTATAATTATTATCAAATTTTAACGAATTTTAATTTTATTTATAATCTTTGTTTAAATTTTTTAAAATCACAAATTATTCTATAACATAATAAAAATGATTGATTATAATCGTAGTGTTCATGGCATAATGTTTGATTTTGTTGAATTGATTTTAAGCAAACGTTCATTACGATATTTTTCAATACATTCGACTCTTTTATGTCGATCGATCAATGGATTAAATTTGATGATAAATACCAATACTGCAATAGTATGATAGAATATGGCCAATAAGATGAGTTTGAATATACATTCGTAAAAGTTTTCAACATTGGTTGGAACGTTTAACATATACAACAGGGATTGTATTTCATACGGTCGACATCGTTCACCACCATAAATTAACCATAACGTTGCCGGGAATTGGTAACGAAATATTGAAATATTTGATATNAAACGTACGATGAAATTCATTTCTTCAATAACATTGTATATATTTGATAATAAGATACCAATACAAAGCATCGTCCCAATCATTATGAATAAAGCGATAATTGATTTATGAAGAAACATTACGCACAGGTTATTTAAGGCCAGAAAGCTCAATGATGATAAGAATAAATTGAAAACTTGCCAAACAAAATAATTGTTTGGAGATACAGATGAATAAATATCAGTTACATAAACAAAGATTACGGCCATAGGTAGAATTGTCGTCACATCGAATATTAATTTGGCAAAATAATAAGCACTACAAGTGTACCAACCTTTCAATAATTTAAAGTAATTTAGAGTTAATAAAAATGGTTTGTATCTAATAAAAATACGAACCATTCATATGTTGAGCGACAAAAAATTTTAAATCTGAGGAAAACGTATTGATCACTTGAGCACTCATTACGAAAATACATGCATAACACGAGAAGATGACATAATTCACATTATTGGCAAGACGTAGATCTTCTATCCATTTTTGATCGGTAACATTCGAACAAATATTTAAGAAATCTTCCTCCATCGATAGGCAGCCATCAATTTGAGCGATTTTTTCATCAAAAAAGCTTCCAAATGCAACACCACAAAAGATACACATGATTGTATGACCAAACCATAAGGGCCACTGATATTTGATTGAGGAATGAATGAAGCGTTGCAAAAGAATAATTACTGTTTGAAACGAAAATCTAATTTGTGGAAACATTAAGCCATTTTTCACTCGAACTGTGTCTTGCAATAGCAACGGTGTGATCTTAGCGACTTCATGATCGGTTTCTTCAGCTAATTGTTGGACGATTGGATTTGAATGTCCAGTGCATGAATATCGAATCAGAGTTTCGATCGGGTATCGTTTGTCATCATCAATGGAAGATGCTTCATTTAAAAAACTTTTGATTCGTGCTGGAGGCCCTGAATAGATGCCAAGTCCATCGAATGCAAGCACGTAGCAAATGTCAAACATATCCAACTGCTCGGTACTAGGCTGATGAATGCTGACTGCCATAGTTACATCTGGATGACGAGCGATGAATCGTCGAAGACACAGGAGAACCAAGTGTGCCGAGTTCGAATCCAATCCACTGACAGGTTCGTCAATGCAAATCAGATTGGGTATTCGAACTGAGGTCAATTCCAATGCCAAAGCCAATCGTTTTCTTTCACCGCCTGAACAGTTTTGTACCATGGTGTTGGCTGTGTTGGCAATGTCCAATTCATCGAGTAAATTGGTTGCTATCTGGTCATGATTGATCGATTGTCTTTCGTGACAATTCTTCAATTTGGAAGCATAGACCAAACTTTGTCTGCCCGTTAGTCCGGGTATCAGATGATTGGAAACTTCTTGTCTGATGTAGCAAGTCCGAATCGGTGTGAATCGACTGAGATAAAATTCTGTCGAGCCTGTCAATTTGGTTTTCATTTTCCCATTAAAAACTTTCAATAGTGATGTTTTGCCAGAACCAGAGCTCCCCATAATAGCATTCAATGTTCCAAATTGAAATTGTCCACTGAGATTTCGCAGTATCAATGTGTCTTGGAATTTTTCCAATGATTCAGGAGTAGGACGAACTTCATAGATTGTATCGGTGGAGAACAATGTCAATTGACGCCATCCAATTATGTAACGGCCTTTACAAAATTGTTGAAATTCATTTCTATTGAATGATTCCGATTCAACGTTGTTATTATAGTCGATCATCGAGACATTCATAGACTTTGGAGGGAAAATGATTTCGATGGGAGTGGCAAGAATCCTTGTCATTATTACTTCTTCTTTTTCGGATGAAACTATACCAATGTTTACATTGCTGAATGACCAACGCATCGTGAAAAAAGAAATAATTCGAATAACAAGCACAACCAGCATAGGATATTTGATATTCGAAAAGACATTGTCAGGGTCAACAAAAAATTGCTTCATTATTTGCGAATATTCTGTTCGTGAATCACACCGATCGATGTAAAAATATGAATATACTGCTCCTGCGGTTAAATAGCGAAAACCAATTATATGAGAAATAGTCAGATAAAACGGTTTGCCCATAACATCGATTGAAACCATAAAACCATTGGAAATACTAAATGAAATAATTGCCACTTGACATAGAAGTAAGAGTATCTCAAAATTATCAATAAATAATGATAATAATAAATATCCGAATGATTGACCGTAAAAAATGATTAAAAAGCAGAAAAATAATGCGATACAAAACCGGTGCCAATTGAAATGATACTTATCAATGTAAACAAAGCCAATATTAATGTAAAAGATGAGGACGCTTCCAACCACATTAATCATCAATGTGAGAAAATCAATTAAATAAGTAGAATGAATCAAGGCTGAATAGCTGTACCAACCTTTGAATAAACAACTAAAATAGTTTAAGAATTTTTTGTTTCTTTAATACCTACCATTTCGATATTCGTTGCGAAGAACTTTGAAAAAGCTGATTCTCATCACGGAAATTATTCCAATCCCCAGTGATATTAGAAGAATTATCATCAACAATAATAACATAATAAATGTCCCCACTAATCGATCTTCTTTCAATTTTTCAGAACAAGTTTGATTGAAATTCTCAATATTGATCGATCGACATCCACTAGGTATCATGGCATCCTTATTTGTGATTGATATATGCAAAAAAGTGGCAATTAAGCTTACTATAATAACTGCATACAGGTTCTTAACATCAGCAATGAATGTAAAACAAAATAGTCGTTTGACCTGTGTCCAAAGATCACAAAAACGAAATTTTCGTAAATGATGAGGAATACCGTTTGGAATTGATTTGAATGGACATTCTTCATCGATAAGATATGTCATTCGTTGATGGTCACGTTCAACACTTGCTTGAGTTAATTGTCTAACTTGTTCATCACTGGTTCCATTGCTAGCTATGCGAAGATATTCTTGAATTGGTGAATCATCTTCTTTCAATGTGATTCCTGTGATTTGATTCAGATGTGGTTTCAACAGATGTGGCGGGTCAGAATAAATGCAGACACCTCCCTTGGCTATGATGTACAATTGATCGAACAAATTCAAAATGTCCGAACTTGGAGCATGAATCGACACCATAACTGCAATGTTATTTTGCATGGATAATCGTCGCAAGCATTTCATGACCACCAAGGCTGATTCACTGTCCAGACCGGTGGTCGGTTCATCCACAAACAAAAACGGTGGTTTCGATTCGATCGACATCAGTTCTTGAGCAATCGCTACACGACGTTGTTCCCCACCGGAACAATTTTCAAAGCGGGTATTTAACACTTTTGGATTCAACATTAATTCTTCGATCGTTGATTGGATGTGTTGATATGCTTGATCATGTTTACTAGCCACGTTTTTGAAGCAGAATGCATAATATAAAGTCTCGAGAACTGTGAATTGCCCCAAAATTATTTCATTGACGAATTGTGGCACAAAACTGACTAATGACTTTGTCGAATTGGTCATTATTTTATTGTTGATATAAATCTCTGTGTCTGACGAAAGATTTTTGGCTGAAACATTGCAGGTGAGACAATTGATCAACGAAGTTTTACCGGCGCCGGATGGACCGAGCAATGCATTCAAACTGTTTATCCGTATGGATCCATTGAGACGATTCAGAATTATTTTCTGCCGTTTTTGTGGTCTCCAACCATTCACTAAACACCATTCATCGATTACATAGCGTAAATTTTTCCAACACAGTGAAATTTGTGTATTGCAACGTGCATCATCAGTGGAGGACATTGTTAACTATTGAATTTTATTGAATTAAGATTAATTCATTCACAATTTATAACAAATGACGTTAAATTGTTTCGAACTGGAATATTTTTAAAAATGGCTCATATCATCATTGAACAGACGAAAAAAATAATATGACCTTCATTTGTATATGTTAATGAATATTAAACATGATTTAAAGTTTTTTAAAAATTACGTTTATAAATTTCAATCGTTCCATGTCTCTTTCTCATTTATTCATAATATTATCATAGATTTAAATCAAACGCAAACAAAACGCACTGAATTTGATTGAATTAGATTTTTTATCGATAAGTAAGTATTCGATCGATGGATTGTTTAGGTTCTGATTAGAATTAATATTTATAAAATTTCAAAGATATTCAGCAGCTCACATGATTGTCCAAATGAATTAAATTCAAATTTTTTTTTTAAATTAATTTTCGATTCAACTAACTTCCAAATATTATACGTTAATTAACATTGTTGGTTTTTATTCAAAATAATTTTTACATTTCTAATAAATTCTTAATGAATTTTACTTGTTTTATTTATATTTTATGGTCAGATGTTTGTTTTTTTAAATCACACAAAATTCTATTCCATTGAATTTATGAAATGATATCAAACTTTTATCCATCATCTTTTTTTTTGCGCATCTAAAATGCATGTATTCATGAACTGTTTTGCGGTGTACGTGGTCCAATGCTTGAAGAACGTGATGATGATAATGTTTTTGCATCATTTTGTCTATGATTATCCAGAATAAAACTGCTTTCTGAAAGACTATCATCATGTTTTCGTCGTAGAACCAGATCTTTTATTACTTTTTCATCAATATTTTCTTTTGATTGTAATAAAGATAATGATGATGATGATGTAGTCAATATACGTGGTGCATTTGCCGAATTCGGTGGTATCATTATCGGTAAACAAATCATATTTGTTGATGGTGATGATGGTGATGAATCTGATTTCACCTGCAATAGATCATTTGATTTGAATGTATTGAATGTGGATTTGGATTTGGATTTAGATTTAGATTTCGATTTAGATTTAGATTTAGATTTGGATTTCGATTTCGATTTCGACTTTGACTTAGATTTCGATTTCGATTTCGATTTCGATTTCGATTTTGATTTAGATTTCAATGATAATGTAAGATTTTGACCATCATGTTGTGGATAACCACCTATTGATGTTTTTTGTTGATTTTCGGATGAATTTTCTCCAGTTTTGGATGATTTTTTTGATGATCGTTTTTTACGATTTTTTTTTGGCCGCGATGATGACCATGGCGATGACGAAGTTGATGATGTTGATTTTGGTTTTGATTTTTTTTTCTTTTTTTTCATATCATTATTATCAACACTATTTTCTTCTGTTTCGGAATTCGGCATTTGATTCAGTGTTTTTTCCTGTTCATTTTGAAAATATTTCTGACATAAAACAGCAACACCCATCATAAACATTACAAAAAATAATAATGATGTTGATGTTATTATGATTTGCATCCATACTTTTGCTAATTTGTAAAAAAAAATTAATTAATTTTCATTCTAAAATTAAAAAAAATTACAAATTAACTTTTTAACTTACATAATATTGATTCTTGAATTTTTAAATCCTTTTCACTAAAATGATAATCTATTGTTTGTGGTTTTTTCTTATCATCTTCATCATTAGTTTTATTTGATTTTACTGTTCTTTCAATTTTTCCTGTTGTAGAATAATATTTTCTTGTTATTGGTACTTCTACTTCTTTGGCTGATCTTCTTGTTGTTCTTCTTGTTACTATCCTTCTGGGAGGAAAATAATTATCCGGCATTCCATTATCATCTTCATATTGTATATTTACTTCACTATGTAAATCGCGTCTTTTGTTTTTTTGAGATGATTCGCTATGAGGTGTTAATTTGAATGAAAAAACCAATGAACAAATCATCATCATCGTTATCATTATTAGCAATAAAAATTTTCTATATCGTTTCATAATTATTATTATTTTTATCGATAATATTTCTTTTTTGTACAACACCAATCAATGATCAATTACCGAAACAAAAAAAAACAAAAACAAAACAAAACGTTTAAAAATATCAGTTTCGGGTAGAAAAAAACGTTTCGTTTTGTTTGCTATTTGAATAATGTTGTTAAAAAAATTTTTAATTTTAATTTTAAATTGAAAATTTTAATTTTATTATAATTTCGAATGTTTTACTTTTTTTAAAAAATAAACTTTGATTAGATTAATAGGTTTTCGATTGTTTTGATTCGAATCATTTGAAAATGAAAGTTTTATTCATTGAATTTGTTTTTTCATTTGCGAGATTGAAGATGTTTACGATAATCATGACGTTCAAAGCCTTGTTTGCTAAGAAAAACGGCCGAACATTTCGGACATGAAAATGTTTCTTTATTAGAATGATGTGCAAGTAGATGGTTTCCCAGATATGAGACATTATTGGTAACATATGAACATCCAAGAAATTCACAGCTATGATTATTATTTTCAACATTATTGTCATTTATTGATGATAATTTTTCTGATTTAACATTTGGATGTAATTGATTTTTGAATAATTTTTGTTCCAATTTTGGTTCAATTTCCGTTATTGTTGTTGTTGTTGCTGTTGATGATGATGATGATGATGGTGATGATGATAGTTTCGATTGATCAGTTGTATTATTATTATTCATTAAATTTTGCAAAAAATCAATCGTTTGTTGAATTTTATTCGAATCAATATTATTGTTGATCGTTTGTTGATTATTGTTTAAATTTTCGGTTTGTAATTTTTGAAGTATATCTAAAAATTCTTTATCCGATTGTAAACTATCTTCAAAAAAATTGATCAATGTATTTATTGTTTTGTCTAGATAATTTTCATTATCATTTTGGTCATTAATATTTTGATTTGCCATTTTTTTCCAAATAATATGGTAAGGATTATGAATTAATCACCTACATTTGAAAAAAAAACATTTAATTAAACAGTTAATATGAAAATAAAAATTTTTTTATTTAGAAAATTTTACCTGTTTTTGAAAAAAAATCTTTATTGACACGTCTACTGGCGTAATGAAATCACATTTTTAAATTAACTTTCCCAAATTATTTGCCATTGTATATGTGCGTGAGTGTAGATCGATGTTACTCGTAACAATTATCAATCGATTGAAAATGAAAATAACTTTTAATTTAGAAACAGCTTCACCCATTCTCTCTCTCTCCCTCACTCCTTCTTTCCCTCTTTTTCTTTATCACATCCAATGCAATTGTATTGTTAACTTATATACAATGAATTCCAATAATAAACAATAATAAAATTGACCATCATTTTATCAAATTTTTTATTGATTGAATTAAATATTTGGACAAAAAAAAATATTTGAAGTATAATTATTATTCATTAAAAAATTACAGATTAATTTCTGATTTTGTTTTAATTTAATTTGAATGTTAATTTTTGTTAGTATCGATTTTTAAATTGAGAAATAGCTTGATCTAACATACGTTGAAATATGGGACATGTTAAATCATAAGGATTATGTGGCTTTTGATTTCTGATTTGCTCGGCTTTACAGTTGCAGCAAATTGGAGGTTCTTTCTTTTTAGAACAATCTTGATGTCTGTGATAGCCAGAACAATGATAACAAATTTGTTCAGTTTGACAGTCAAAAGACATATGATTGAAACCAATACAGTTATAACATCGGATAGGAAAATCTACTGTTTGAACATTTTCATTGTTGATGATTATTTTACGTTCCAGATTTCGCATGATAATTGTACGTATGGGGCAATCAACTTGTACAACATAATCAATTAAATCTGATGATTTTTGATTTTTTCTCCAGAATCTAATTTGTATGGCTTCAGAAGGAATCTGATTCATTGAACAAAGGTAATCGTTTATTTGCCGATTCGATTTTGATATAATTTCAGGTAATTTATCAGATGATATAGATTTATCTACACCTTTAAATAAAATCATTTGTTGAACGGATCGTTGGATGGTGGCTGTTCGATAATTCTGATCGATTGATTCGGAATTGGAAATTTGTTTCCTCAATTTATTAGCAGTTTCAATTTCATTATGATTAGATTTTCGTTTGAAACTATCGTTTGTATGATTGATCTTGGTGGTTATTGTTTGATTATTTTGTGATAATTGAATACCCGATATAGATGATGACGGCATGGATTGATTTGTTTGTTGTTGATGATGATCAGAATATGATTGAATATTTTTGATTGAATTTGAATCCTGTTCAATATTTGTTGTTATTGTTGTTGTAAGTTTTGTTTGATTCGATTTCGATTGAATTTTATGACATTCTTTTTGAATATTACGAAGTTTTTTCAACAATTTCTCCCCATTTTGACAACGATGTTCAGTATGATTGATTAATAAATCAATTAGTTTCGGATTTTCATTAACATTTTGATTATTAATTTGATTTTCCATTTTCAATTCGATTATCTAATTTGCTTTTGGAATGTTAAACAAGATCTATTTAAAAGAAAAAAAAACAAAATTAAAACATCAATGAATATTACACAGTTATAACTCTCTTACCTATTTTGAAATTAATCAATAAAAAAAAATTTAAACTGCCACGTATAATGCCGCTCAAAATACAGAAATAAAATCCACTTCATCAAAATTATAATGCGTACTTTTGCATGTGTGTGTATGCATACGGATGCTATCCATGACAATTATCGATCGACAATTATATTTTTATCTGTTAGAATATCTGATACAAATCTTCTAGAAAATCATAAATCACAAAAATCATATTCAATTAAAAAAATTTTAATTACAAACACAATTTAATGAATATATTTTATTTGATAATGAAAATTTTATTCATAGAAATTTTTTTTTCAATCTCAAGATTAATGATCATAAATGATTACGAAAAGCATGACCATGTAGACCAGGTTCGCTAAGAAAAACAGCCGAGCATTTTGGACATGGATATATTTTTGTATGAGAATTATGTGATTTTTGATGTATCCGCAGATATTTAACATTATTTGATTTATATGTACATCCTTTAAACGTACAAATAAAAACACCATTCAAATACGTTGATTTTCCATCTAATAAATCAAAATTTCCCTCATCAACATCATCAGAATCATCGGAATTAACTAAATTATTTGATTTCTT